TGGTAAAAGGTAGTAGGTGTTGATCACTGGCTGAGCTTGGGAAAGGACAACTCAGGGCAGTGGTGGGACACGTCTCCACTTAGCCAACACCTACTATAATTAGCTGTGTCTACTAATCCCCAGAGGGACTGGTGGTAGTTGGAGTTGGCTCAGTGGAGATGATCATCACTGTGTTCCCATAGTTCTTACAGGGAAAAAAGGCAGACAGGAACTGCTGTAATGGTCTAGTGGCACTTCAGATATGTTTTAGCGTCAGTATTTTTGACAGTAGGTGCAGCTACCTTTTAGGATCTTTATTATTGCTCTCTTTTTTTTTTAATCCCAGCAGAAGAGTCTTGAAATGGGTTCATAACAGTGTAAAAAAAAGGCAAACCCATAATCAAAATGCTAGGTTGAAATTTGGGTTGTGGAATGTTTGACTCCTTGCTCTGTTACTGTATTTGTATTAAGTTCCTTGTGCAGCAGTTCCTCCTGAGTACATAAAATTGTTCTTTTCTCTAACATTTTACCCAAAGAATAGGTGTTGCTCCATTATTAAATGTGTAGTGCTTAGTGTGTTGGCTCCAGGTCCCTACTTGAGACTTCTGGGTGTTTTTGTAGCATCCCTAGTAGGGCCACAGTATTGGTCCTACTCAAGTGGCATCTAGAAATTACAAAGTTTGAAGGTGTGGGACAGAACCTTTCTTTGCTTTCTGCAGACTTGCAGTCAGTGGAGGAATTCTTCTGTAGTTAATTTGTTCTAATTTTTCACCTTCAATGCATAATTTAATAAGGTTTTCGAATGTGACAGGCCCTGGTCTTTACATTGAGGTATAACTGCTAGTACTGAAGTGCAGCCCAGAGTGAGACAACAGTAGCTATACCCAGAAGAGCCATCTCAGATGGCATCTCAGATAAGCAGGTTATCTTGGAATTTACCCAAGCCATTGCTGTGCTCACTATGGCTCACTTCAAAGATGACTTTATTTTCCAAAGCAGGGTGGGTTATTTCCTTTTCACTGTGCAGCATGTAGTCAGAAGTAGGTATTCAGAAAAGGCAGATCCCAGTGTTCATGGAGTGGGGGAAGAATGAGAATAGCTATGGCAGCATGTGTATATATAGAGAGATGTATAAATATGTACATATATACAAATGCATACACATACATATATATAAAGATATATATATCTTCTTGATGGCAACCCTCCAGAGACCTGTAGGCTTCCAGGGACTACTTCCTGTAATTAAAACAGAGAGTTGCTGCAATTATCTAAACACCACTGCAGCATGACATGCAGTGACCTCAGTGAATTGCATTAGATGGGAATGTCAATATACGTAATTAACTATTGACCTTTAGTCCTGAGCTATTTTAGGCAACTAGTCTGGCTGTACAGGGTAACTCTCTAGCATATAGATTCTAGGGCTTGTCGTTGGAGGTGATATTCCTCCATGTAAAGGGCATGAAAGTCCACAGGGATTCAGCAAGTGGTTCTGGAGTAGAAGGGTCTACATCAGGCTGTCAAGGCTTAGGCCCATCACTTAATGAGCGTGACAGAAACCCCTTATGGCAAGGAGTGCTTTAAAACCTGCTACTGCTGTCACCACCGTAAGTAGCCAACCAAAGGTGCTGCTACTTGGGAGGCTGCTGCTAGAGCATTAAGGTTGGTGTGTGTGCCAGAGGCTACAGAGTAGTGAAGGCTTTGCTTATTTTCCCAGCCTCTTCAGAGCTGAGCCTTGCCTGGGAGCAACAGCAGAGCACTAAGTTAGCTGGATCTGCCTTTCTTGCATTCATACATAATCATGGTGCCTCGAGGTTCCTTTGCCAAGTTCTGGCTCACAGTTGTGCCACTGTTTCTTCATTTCTGAGGCATCTCTCTGCCTGGTAGCTGCTGTGTGTGAGTCAGTAAATCCAGCTGAGCTGTGTGGGCTGGCCTCTGCTTCTAGGCCTGGCAGAACTTACTTCTTGGGTTCTTGGCAGCAGTTTTCATGTTACTGTACTCTTCTCTTGTCAGTGAGTTGTGCCTTGCCATTTGAGGCTCATTGCTTTAACCAACTCCTGTTGCTCTGGCAGCTGAAGCTAGGGAAGTGACTGGTATTAAACAAGCTCATTAAAATAAGTGCTTAGTTTTACCTTGCCTAGCTACCCTAATCTGATTTGCAGTGCAGCTGTGCACTAGTTTCATGAGCAAAAAGCATGGGAGGGAAGGCAGGGAAGAGTAGGAGACTGGAGGTTCATTGAACCATGGCTTGTGGTGTTACCCACAGCTTATATTAGCTTAAATAAGGGTGGGTGTAAGTTCCTCCACTGTTTTGTTGTTCCACTTTGTGGTGCCTTTGAAAGTTTGTTAACTTTGGTTCATATATTGGTTTCATTTTTATGATGTATAAAGATGGAGCAAAGACCTCCTGTGTTGAAGCAGGAAGACAGAGGAAAAGGAAATATGCTTGAGATGTGAGGTTTTTTGCAAACAGTCTTGAAACAGAATAGTGAGCTTGAAATGCAAATGAAATTCCATAATTTCTTGTCTCAGCCTTTTGATTTCTTAAGCTGCAAGACTTTTACACTATCTTGGTGCCAGGCAGTTGGATCAAAAAGCCAGTAACAGGGTTGGCAAAGGAAAATTTTTTGATCGTTGAATCTGGTCATATCTGCTATTAAACAGGCACATCATACATACCACTGTCTTATTTTGGAAAGCTTCATTGCTAAAGTGAAGGAGTAGAGAGAGTGGATTCATTATAAGCAGATTACCTTCTGTGATTTGCTCGTAACATATAACCTGAGACAAATTTATTAACTGATTTGTGACTTCAGTTGAAGCAATATGTGGCTCTGCTTCCATGGCAGAATGTGATATGCTGTTTTACTGGTTCAATATTTTGCTTTTAGAAGATTGCTAAATATGTCTTAAAATAATTTGTTATTTGAGTTTTAACAATTTTCATTAGTATAATTGTAGCAGCAGATTATAGTATGTCAAGTCTTTCACTAATTTGTCAGCCTTTAAAAATTGTAATTACCGTACAAACTAATTTTAAAATACAGAATTTGAAGGTGGAGAGGTTAACCATCAAATAAAAAGCAAATTTCCAAGTAATACCTGAATTCACTTCACTATGATCAACATCCTATATCATTAGCATGTGCAAGTGTTGTAAAATGTAAAGAACTATACTTTCCAGGATAAAGCAAGTAATTGATCTTTAAGTCTTTAATCTGTTTTGTCACAGTCATAACATAGTTCAGTTTGCTTTCCGGCCCAAGGTTATTCTCTGGGTTTTTATTCTGTGTATGTACATAGCTGGGTAGGATGGGAAATCATTTACAGTGTCTTTCTAAAGATCAAGAGGTGTGTTTGAGTCTTGCCCTAGACTCCTGAAGACCCAGCTGTAAATGGATGCCAGATTTTTCAGGCTCCATGTGCCTGAGACACCCCAATGGGAGGCCAGGCACATCACTCTTTTTAGTGCTGTTGGCTAGAGAAACAAACCTTGACAGAGGAGTCCTGAAACATGGCAGATGATGATTGTATCTGTGTTTAGAAAGTAGTGTGTGTCCTAGTATACCCACCTTGTCACACACACACAAAAAGTATTCCGTGTGATAAGGAATGTTGCTTTTGCTAGGCGAGTTTAAAAGCCTGCACTGGTCTTGTTTAAATATACCGTAGGGACTTTAATAAATTATGTACAGAATTTAAGAGACCTGGGACAATGGTGTGTGTTGCACCATGACCAGAGGACATCAAAGCAGTGGTGACTGAGCTAGCTCTGGCATCTCAGGCTGCCATACAGTGCTGAGCACAGCATGGTTCTATGCCAGCACACCTTTTGTGACCTGAGGTCTCTCCTATACTGGCTTTGGGCACTTGCCTGGCCCAGGTCTGTGCTGGTTTTTGTGCAGCCCAGTCTGGTGCTGATGCTTCTGTTCTGCTGATTGTATTATTCCTTTCTGGATTTCAGAATTCTTGCTTTGTAGATCAAAGAAGCTGTTAACCTTTGTTTGAATTTTGAAATGTGAGCAGTGTTTTGCAGGGGTGGGTGAGCAGCACCGCCTATCCAGCAACTGTGGAACATGGGAGAACCAGGTTTAAAGATTCTCAATTATGAGGTTATCAACGCAGGTTTGCTCCTTGCCAAAACCTCTAGGAAGAGCTGAAAAGTTTCTGTTAGTGACCCACAGAATATAGGGGCAGAAAAGGCCTATAGTAGCAGCCCATGTAGTCCAAACTCTTGACACAATTATTGTTCTTACCATACTGATTTTAGAGGCTTGTCTATTAAGTGTTAAATATGCCAACAGCTTATCTTTATTTTTTTTTTATTAGTTTAGCTGAATTCTGAATTCTTCAGTCCCACACCTCTTCTCTAGGTGGAAGACCCTGCCAGAGTAAAAGCAGGATGAAAGGCCATGCAAAGTACAAAGAGTACTTCAGGGAACAGTCTGGTGTGGCAGATGGTGCTCGTGTGCATATGCTAGTATGGAAAATAAGTCCTCAGAGTCTGAGTTACTGAATTACTGATGGTTCTGTCTTATGAAAAAACAAACAAACAAACCAACCAACAAAACTAACAAAAAACGAACCCACAACCAAAAACAAGCCTCTAATCTCTTGTCATCATTATAAGTGGAAGGATTAGCTATTATGTGGTAGCTAAATTGCAGCTGGTCTATACACACACCTCCATCTAATTATTCTAACTACTGTAGCATTGCTCATTTCCTGAGCTATTGTTCTGTGCAATGTTTGACAGCTGGCAGGTTCTGCTCCAGAGATGGCTGCATTTAACCTTGGGGAAAATGTTTCTGTTCAGATTGTTACTTTTCCAAGGATGAAGCTGTGTGACCTCCCTTTTTAGCATTTGACAGTAAAGCCACTTTCTTGTAACAAGCCCTTAAATATCTGATGTAGAAGTGATATCTGACTCCATATGCTGCGTCTAACCCTGAAGGTGATTGCTGTGCATACCAAACTCTTCCAGCTTATGACTTGTTTTTTTGTTTTCATTTCTGAAGGCTGGAAGTCCAACCTCTATCTCTGCCCCTCATAGCTTCTCTCGGACATCTGTTACACCATCCAACCAGGACATCTGCAGGTAAAGGGGGTTGTTTGCATGGCTACAGTGAGGCTTATGTGAAGTTCAAATCAAGAAAAAACAAAACTGAAAAAGCACATGTATTGGGAAGTAAGCAGTGTGGGGTTCCCATTTGAAGTGTCCCATTTGTTTGACTCAACTGCCGTCTAACACTGCTTCATTGAATCCTACTGACTGACCCCTGTTATGTTTGCCATTCCCACACTAGCTGTAATTCTCATTTCTTCATTTTTAATTATATGTGTTCTCTTATGTAATTGTTTTTACTTTCTGTGCTTTTATTCCACTGTTCCGCATGCAGTTCCAGTGCAGTGTTTTCTGAGTGTTGTCATCAAAGTCCAGTGCAGTCTGCTGTTGTCTTGAAAAATCCTCACTGCCAGAACCCCCTGACACAAGGGGTCACTGTGACAGTAATCTGTCAGGACACGTTACATACAGCAAAGAGAGACTCCCATGGGCAGGATCGGGGCCAGGCACTCAGGTCTGCTAAGAACGTAAAGCCCACCCGCACTCTGAAATTCTCCAAGTCCCTCAATGACGTGGACCAGAAGGCGCAGAGCACCAGTGAGTGCTTTGACTATGTGGAGCGAACGTGCTCAGAAGGCAAATTGACCCCGACTCCAGGGCAGTGTTCAAGGATTAACAAATTTCATCTGAAAGAAAGGAAGCCGCTGAATCTCAGGCCTCTTTCTTTTAGCAATTCTAAGCGCTCCTACATCACTTCCCTTTCCAACTACTCAAGTGCATCGGGAGGAGCAGAGAACAACAATGCTGTACATATCCCCCTGTTGGAGGACAAAGTGGACCATGACACCTCAAGGAGCAAAAAGCTGTTGCGTTACCTCTTTTCCTTCTCCCACACCTCCAGCACCAGCAGCCTGCATAAGTTCCATGAACTGGAGAGCTATTCCAGTCACTTCCAACCTGAGAAATCCTCCAGCGTGCTGGTGGAAAGCACAGACTTCTGCTCTGATGACATGGGAGATGATGACGTCTTTGAGGACAGCACCTCAGTGAAATTAAAAACAAAAGAGCAGCGGGCACCACTCTGTTCAGTTGAGAAGGACAGTGACCTTGATTGCCCTTCTCCCCTCTCAGAAAAATTACCCCCTCTCTCCCCTGTGTCCACATCGGGGGATACCTGCAGGTTGGTTTACCAGAGAACCACCTACCTTCGAGCGCTCCCCTGTGCAGTGGTGACCATTCTGCTTTCCCCTGCATTTGTGCTGTTTCTGTCTTTTCTTTCACCCTGTCTCCTTGCTTTAATCTGTGGCATTGGAAGCATGCAGCCTTCTCTCTGATGTCCTGCATCCCTCCAATGCATTTAACAAGGCTACTAAGCAAAATAATTTCCTTTCGAGTCAAATAAATTGTCTTGCAATTTATTTCAGGTTTGGGGTTGTGAGATTGTCTTTCTGTTATCAGTGCCCAAACTGGGAATGTCATGAGAGAATCAGCTACATGTAATAAAGGCCAAGCTGAACATATCTTTGCTTTTACTGAGCAGTATGTTGTCCTGGCAGTCACTGCTGATTTGGGTCAAAGGGTGGGGAGTAATGAGGAAAGAGGCTGTTTGAACGTGCTTCAATACAGCTTAAGATTTTAATTTTTTTTTCTCCCCATCTTTTTCTCACACATTGTATCCCACCACACTTTTATTTATAAAGGGCTTTCTGGATGTTGTAGTTGAAAGAGGGATCTGAGCACTGACTGTTAGGAGTGGGTCTGTATGATGTCCACAGTGTAAGGTCCAAAAAGGATGGGTGTCCTTGTTCCAACTACAAAGGAATTATCACATGCACAGGTGGTGGGAACAGTCAGGTCTGGACTGCCTTTGGGGTGACTTGTCTGCAGGCCTGCCCCATCCCAGCTCCAAAATGTGGCTGAGGAGCAGGAGCCACCAAGTGCAGAAGCAAATGTCCCATCTCTCTACCTAGGAGTTTACTATCCTAATCTTTCTCCCCCTGACAGCACTTTTTGAAGCTGGCTTCAAAATACTTGCCAGTATTACTTGATTTCCCTCCTCAATACCAGCAAAATCTAGTTCTGTACTGGCTTTTCATCAACAAGGCACTCTTGTAATCCACCCACTCTTTCATTTCCACTTGCCAGTTATCAGCAAGGTTACAGGAGGCAAGATGCTACACATCAGTAAGAGATTTCAGTAATAAGACAGGGATGGCAGCATGCCAGAACATACTTCACAAATGCTTAGTAACTTATATTCATTCCCTGAGCTCCTTACCCACCCCCCTTTCAATTCATGACCTCTTCCACAGGGTTAGAGGACTTAGTGATGTTTTATGCAACCCAAGGGTTATGTATAATTTGAAGCTGGAAATCCAATGCCTGCCGGCACCTGGTAGTAACACTGTATCAGGTGTTCTTGTTGTCTGCACAGTTAGGCTGTGAGGGAAATGGGGAATTTTGCAGAGCTGATACTTCCTTAGTGGCTCATGCCAAGTAAGAATGGGATAGCAAAACCTCTAGTCTATTTAGAGTAGGTGTATTTTGGGGAGATTCAGTGCTGTAACTTTGCAGTGTGGATCTGTCTTTTAGCCATTGCACTAGAAAGAATAACTTCTTTTGTGCAAAATCCAGGCTGCCTTCATTGTAGTAGGGTGGGCTGTTTCATGATTGGATGGGGAATTTAGTTTTATCTCCTTTCTCAGATTGCAATACATGAGTAGCTGTACCTCTCTGCATATTTTGTCTGGAGAATTGCTGTCTGATCTCTTTAAATGCTATTTTCAGTTAAGTGATATTGTTCTAGATGAAGTGTTATCATTTCTTAGCCTGTTTTTTCTTTTGGATACTGCATTTCTGTCAGGCTCTGTGTGTCCACCTCATCTGTTAGAAAGCAGCTTTTCAGCAGTGTCTGTGTTCAGTTATTTTATGCCTGCTTATGTGCTTGTGCAGCAAGGGAGTTCTTCAGTTTTAGCTCCTTTATGGAACACGTTCCTTTGATATGTATGTCTCAAGATCCTCAATGGACAACTGCGTGTGATCACAGATTTTACATGTCTCTTCCACGTCGCTTCCTCTTTTCCTAATGAGTACCTTTGCTTCTGATTCAGGATATGTCACTGTGAAGGAGATGATGAGAGCCCTTTGATTACCCCTTGTCACTGCACGGGAAGTCTTCATTTTGTGCACCAAGCCTGCCTGCAGCAATGGATCAAGAGCTCAGATACACGATGCTGTGAACTGTGCAAGTATGAGTTCATCATGGAGACAAAACTGAAGCCTTTGCGAAAGGTAGGCACGAGACCTGATTCCCCAAGAAAATCCTTTGTTAAATGCAGGTCCAATCTGAAAAGATGCAGTCCTTGCCCATGTGCCCGCAGCACCTCCCATGTATTTATCACATTTTTATGCCTCCTTAGTGAGTCTGATTGCTTTTGCATAGGTGCAAAAGGATTTAAATTAGCACTCAGCCAGGCAAATTCAACATGTGTGAAATATAGCTCTGAGACTTAGCTGTTGTAGCCTGGCAGCTCTGTGTGTAAATATGGAGTTTTGTCTTACTGTTACCTGCTGTAGTTTTCTGCTCCAAATCCATATGGCTTTCCAAGTTCTCTTCAAAATATGAAGATTTCAGGTTAACCATCCTTTAAATCACATTTTTTGAGTGTAATTTGGTTTAAAATTGTAGCTTTTTTTCTTTTTAAAGATGAAACCTATTTTTGTGTAAGTAGAAAGCAAGTTCACCAAGAAATATATTTTAATATTTACATTTTCTTATAATGTGAATGACTGGGTTTTAGTACTTCAGGTTGCCAGAACCTGTATTTTTGTTTTATAGAAAAGTACCTTCCATAAACCTGGTAAAATATAGGTACTTAACTGCTACTTGTATTGGAAGGCCAGTTTTGTGCTTGTATCCTTTTTGTACTCTCACATCTTCTGAGCTTTCAATTTCTATTGGTCCTTACCATCAGGACTTTGAGATGGAAGTCACTGGTATTCTTAGCACAGATAAATCTTGCCAACTATACCAAAGTGGAAGAGGTTAATAACAGTAACCTCTGTCTGGAGCTAGAATAAACAAGAAGCATTAAATTCAATTATGATGAACCTAAATCATGCAGAGTAGGAAGTCCGGACTGCAGCCATCTGAAAGCTATTATAAGAAGTTGTCCAACTCCTAAAAGTGAGTCCCAGCAGAAAATAGCACAGATGTTTTCTTTAAAACCTCTTTGGTTTTTTTACAGAGATTCACAATCTGCAAAGTATATAACTTAGCATGTCTGGTTGATAGGACGACCTTGGCAAATCATTGGCTTCTAAGAAGTGCAGATTTTTCCGTGGTAGCTCCTTGGCACAGAGCGTAGTGCCTCTGAGCTCTGATTTTGACTGTCTTGGGCTCTGGTATCTGCCCAGACAACACTTTGCACAGCCCAGCCATAGGATATTGAAGAAATAACTCTAGAGAATCCCAAGTAAAAAGAGTTGCTATATTTGGCGACTGACTGCTGTTTTTTCTGTGCTTATTCTGCCTGGAGAGGATGTGAAGCATTTTCTGAATATTTGTTCCCTGTAAGAAAAAGCTGTTCTGCACCTTCAGAAATTAGTCACTCAGCATCATTAATTATATTTGAACAGGTCATCTAGGGGAAGGAGAGCAGATTCCAGAAGGTAGGGATAGAGCTGTAAACAGAAGGAGAAGGAATTTACCACTCAGATATATCTAAAAAGTCTTTTAGAGGTTCAGCTGCAGCCAGAAGATGAGCTGCTTCTGTATCTTCAACTCAGCCCCTACGGTATCCTGTCAGTCAGGAGAAAACAGTCTGGAACTGGTGATTATGAACAGGAGGGGACAAATAATAGGGAATGTGCTTGTCTGTAGGGTAGAACTGGAATGAAACATCTTCAGCATCTTAAGGTTGTATCACAGCAACAGTGTATTGGTCAGTTCAAGTATGAAGTTACTAAGGGAAGAAGATGAGACAAAAAAAAAGGTGTAATGGTTTAAGTGAACATGAAGGGAGACAAGAGAAGGTTGGTCTATTTTAATATTTCAATGGCAAAAAAAAAAGAAGACATTTTATTATTGTTGATTTTTTTGTTTTAACAACACTTCAAAAACCCAGAAATGCTGACTATTTTAGTTAGGAAGTGCTGCATGCTGTGTCATCAGAATAAGGCAGCAGAGATCTACAGATTCCTGTTTCTTTTCTGGGCTAGTGCGCAGTTTGCGGAGTATCTTTATCTTTGCTGTGTAGTCATATCTCTTGAAGAGGTAAGATGACATGGGTTGGTTTTGGTGGCTGCGGAACGAGCAGTTCACAGGAGGTATTGTCCAGCAGAGGAGCTCAAGCTGTGGAACAGAAAAGGGAAATACAAACTAGTCAAAACACAGGCCCTTGTGGCTCTGTAAGGCATGCACAAATAGATTTCATATGCTTACATTTTGACAAAATAAATTAATTATTTTTTCTACTTCCTGTCAAAAGTGAACACCTTTGTTTAGATGCAAAAGCAATTTTCTCTTCAAAACACAACATCCAAAAGGAATGTTTTCTTCAGTCTATTTCAAAGCAGATTGCTTCCTAGCATGACATGGGTCTAGCATGTCGCTGCTAGAAGTCTTAAATTCTTGTGCCATGGTGAGATTTGAACGCCCACAGAACTTGAAACATGGCTCGGACTGGCAAAAGAGATTATTTGTTGGCAAGACAGAGAATCACAAAATCTCTGTTTCAGGGTTCATCCATGCAATTTGTAGAAGTGGGAACAATGATTCAACATAATGAGTGATCTCAATCACACCAGTCATGTCATCCTCACTCCAATCCACATTATTCCTCCTTTTCAAAGTCCTTTTTTTCTACAAATTATTTTGGGAGACATCAAATGCATCTCTTTAGAAACATGTATGAGAAGCTTATGTGCTCCAGCATGTATTTTGTGAAAGTGTGAGAAAAGTCCATCTTAACTCTCTGTTCCAAGCAAATATGCTGAGGGATTTGTAACCTGTGTGCAAAAACTTTCATCGTATGTATAGAGTAAATTGCAAAAAAGCTATGTTAAAAAAAAAAAGTGAGCTTCATCCAGTTAAAAAGATAAACCCTGTTTTTGAACAATTCTTTGCATATTTGAAGCATCTATAAGAATTGTCTAGTTCCTTTGCAGCCTTCTAAATGACAGCAGCCTGACTGTGGTTTCTATTTGGGCTGAATAAATATTATTGCTAGATGCAGGTCTGTGGATTTAATTTGCTGAATCCTCTCACAAAAGCTTTCATCCCAGTTCTACTGTATATTCCTAGGGCACATACATCTAAGTGCACTTGAAACACTGAAAATAAAATATAGGTATCGCTACTGTAAGCAGTGTTAAATATACGAGAAGACTGGATGAAACCACCAGAGGTAAGAGGTGAGAGATGAACAGCCTTGAGCTGAGAGCTAAACAGCTCTGGCTGCCCACCAAGGGACTCTTAACAGAGCTCAGCATGAGATGTCTTGCACACACTGGTCAGTTGGATCACGTTCCACTTCTGTTGCAGTGTTTTACTGAACGTCTGCCTGAGCAAGGGTACCCTTTGCCACCCACAGTGTGAGGTACTGTGGGTACCCCCTGCTGAGTGGGGAACACAGGAAGGAGCATCCTTGTTTGTGCTGTCAAGACATTGCATTAGGGTCCCTCTGTGCTGAAGCTGTGCTTGCCTGGGTAAGCAGGGTACACCAATGTTGTGTGGAGGCTCTGGATTGGAGCTGAACACTGGAGATCCCACCTGGCACCAGGACAGCTCCTGCCACAGCAGGGTGAGCTGCCAGCCATTGGTGCAGGCTGTGGTCAGAGCAATAATGTCCAACTTTTAAAACCCTTGTTAGGTGGAAACTGATCTCCTGTCTGGGCTTTGTTATTATCAATGTTCTCTTTTTCTACTCTGCAGTAATGACAATAAACACCTAATCTCTTCTTTTGGGTTTCTTGCCAGTGGGAGAAGCTGCAGATGACTGCCAGTGAGAGGAGGAAAATCATGTGCTCTGTAACATTCCATATCATTGCCATCACCTGTGTCGTGTGGTCTCTCTATGTTCTGATAGACAGGACTGCTGAAGAGATTAAACAGGGACAGACTACTGGTATGTTACTTGCTTACCTTCCCACTTTTTCGCTTGGATTAAGTATGTATCCTGAATACAGAGAGAATGCAGAGCCAGAGTATGCGAGTCATGTTCCTATTTAGGAATAGTCAGCTTTTGCCTGAGGTTGTGTTGGTTTAAAAGCGCCATTCTGAAATTATTTAGTTAAATCATAACTGTGGGTGCTTTTTAAGTCTATTTCAAGGCAATTCAGTTTGCATTTGTGAAATGCACAGATATGAGAGCTAATCCACTGTAGCCAGAGACAAAATTGCCCTGTTTTTGCTCATTTAGTTTTGAATTGGAACACTCACTGAGCAGATAAGGATGTAAGCATTTATTTGCTGCTATGGCTACCTTTTAATTGGGCAAAACCAGAACAGTTTTTAAAAAGAGAAGTGGTAAAAGGGACTTAAATCCAAATCTTTGACGTAAATCAACAGGGTTTTCTTTCTGTTCAGTCATCTAGGAAGTGGTTTAGCACAAGTTTCCTGTGAAAGCCATGTTAGACTGCAGAAATTTTTACGAGTGGTTGCGCCTGAAGCAAAAGAAATTCAGGTTGATTCTTAGGACTCCAATTCATGCAACCAAGATGAGGTGCACTGCAATTCATGTAGTGGCTGCCCTCTCTACTGCAAGGATGTCTTAACTTCTTGAATTAAAGGTGTTCTTTACCTGGGTGTGCTGGGCTGCAAATTTGCAGCTGTCACAGATCCGTTTCTCAAGCAGCTGAGCTGTCCTGAAACTGGGGTTAGAAGGGATGGGGTATCTACCAAGGTTTAGAAGGCAAACTGTCCCTGCTCACTGAGCTTTGCATGCCAACTAGACATGGAAAATGTTTTGCTCGTGATTGAAAAGCGTCATCTCAAGTTGTCTTGACTCTGTCTGTGAATGTGCTGCACAAGGGCTCAGACACAGATAATCAGTTGTGTTGCTTTTCCTCTGGTAGATGACAGTAAATGTGATACATGAAGTAGAAGTCTCCATGTGTTTGGCTTGAAAGGCCAAACAGAAAACTGACAAAATAAGAATAGTTTGCACAGCCCAAGCTCTGACAGTTTCTATAAAGGATGTTCTTGAGAGATCCAGTGTAGTTCAGCTGATACTGACCTGGTCCATTTTCTTACTTCTTTTTTGATTTTCTTTCTTACAGGGATTCTAGAGTGGCCATTTTGGACTAAGCTGGTGGTTGTGGCTATTGGTTTCACTGGAGGACTTCTGTTCATGTATGTACAGTGCAAAGTGTACGTACAGCTCTGGAAGAGACTTAAAGCTTATAACCGAGTAATATATGTACAGAACTGTCCAGAAACTAGCAAAAAGAATATTTTTGAAAAACCTGCACTAATGGAGCCAAACTTCGAAAGTAAAGAAATGCTTGGAGTTCATCATTCAGACACAAACTCTTCACATTACACAGAGCCAGAAGACTGTGCTGCAGAAATCCTTCACATCTGATTGCTGCATAGGAGGGGTGTTTCTGTATGTCCTTGAAGATTTAAAATATCATTGTTTACTGCAAACTGCTCTCTACCTTTTTAAAATCAGCTAACAGCTGAGGGCTGGTGGATGAATTTTTTTACTTTTTTTTTTTTTGTTGGAATTTTTAAAAATCCCTTTAGCATATCTTTCAATGTCATCATGGTTGCATACCTCTTAACATTTTGTCTCTCATACTGGATGATCAAAGATACCCACAGGATACTTGGTAGAATGAGCCTTGGGTTTGGTATCAAGCAAGCAGCTAGTGAACTGTCGTCAACTTCATGGAGTCTGTTACTTTAGAAGATGACTTAAAGTGGTTCATTGCAGAGTGGGGTTTGCTTGTTTGTCTGTTCTTTAACTGTGATGAAGGAGATTGCCCCAGATGCTAAGGGAAATAGGAGAGCTAGAGACTAATCTACCACTAACACTGCCACTAACATTTTGTCTTAGGCAGCAGGTGTAAAATTTTGCTTTACATATTGTGATGAGACTTACAAAGCATATAGCACTTTTAAAAATCTTTATTTTGTAATATGTATGTGAAATAAGAATGAAACTTGAAAAAATGTGTCATTTTCAAAACATCTCTTCATTCTTTATCCCATTGATTCTTCTGGAACATAAACCTCTTGCCTTATATAAAAAAAAAGTAATTAAAAAAAAATCCAAACTCTGATTTCCAACACATGCCCACATTATCTTACTAAACATAACACTAAAAATTTTGGTTCTTTGAATTTCCTTTGGGGAACAATTTTTTTCAAAGGATATTGCACTTGTGACTTGTGTATGGGAAGTAGTGGATGTGTACAGTGTTCGTTTTCAATGCGCATTGGTCTCAGTGCTCAGTTTTGGGGATTGTTTTTGCTTTTTTAATTTCTTTTAAACAGGTCAGACCATCAACACACTTGCACATATATATATACATATATATATATATATACCCAAAGTAACTTTCATTTCAAGCCATTGGCAAAGGGTTTGTTGCTATATTGGTAAAAGTGTGAGGTAAAAGGAAAAAAAGATATTTAGTCAATACAGCTGAAGTTGGTTTTCCTTTTTAGTGCTGTTTTGTGTCTGAATTACACAAGAATTTTACATTGTTAGAGGAGAATTGAGATCAAAGTCGAGGAAGTAAATGTGTTAAGTGGATGAGTTTAAAATTACCTGCCTGGTTTTAGTCCTGGAGCGATGCTTAAATGGTCAGAGAATAATTTTGTCTGTGCTTTTGAATTTGGTACTGGCTTTTTAATCAGTCAGCCTCAATGAAAAGAGAGGGACAGCATTAAAATCTGTTTGCAGGGCTTTAGGAGAGTTATCCAAAGCCAGGGGTATCTGCTGTTAATTTGCTTGATCAGCCTTCATTACCAAACCCCGTTCTAGCTTCAAGCCCTCATTTAACCAAAGTCTCAGTGCAAGTGCAGAAATAAGCAGAAATAAAGCCCCACAAAAGGTCAGCACATGAGGCCTCTCCTTTTGAAAGCTGACTTTCTCTACCTGAGCCCTATCTAAATCTCTGTGTAATGAATGATCATCTTCTGGTTGGTCTTAGGAGTTGCCTCGACTTCTCAGTTAGGTAGAAGCTTCAGTTTATGTGTTGAGATACTGAACTAAATCCCCAGCTCCAGTTCAGGTTTTACTTAGTGTTTTTCAAGTTCAACTTTCATTGAGCAAGTTCTTTTCATTAAAAAAGTTGTTGCTTTAAGACTTTACAAAGAATAACTGTAAGAGATTGATTTTTTTTCTTCTTAAAATGTAATATTAATTTATTTTGAAATTAATCTTTTAGAAGAAGGCAGAGAAGGGACTATGGCAAGAGAACACACAGCAGTGGCTTCTAAGCTTTTGGAGGAAAAGCGTGTGTGCCTCTGTGTGATCTCATGCTTGAAGCTTACTGGCTGTGATCTTCATGAGCAACATGGTACCTTGTTCTTGAGATGTTTTAAAATACCCAGACCTCTAGGCAGTCCTAGCAAAGCTCCACTGGCTAGGTGTCAGGATGTCCCATGCTTATGTTATACAGGCAGACAAACCCTGCATACCCTGCTAGTATCAGGGTGTCTTCATTATGAGACGTGTGGAGTTCATTGCCTATGCCTGCCATAATTTGAAGTGCAATTACTCAGGCCCTTCCTTGAACTCTGCTGTGGATGATCCTCTTCTGTTATGAGAACCCAGAAAATACACTGTCTTGTTTTGGTTTCTATTTTGTTCTGTGAAAAGTTTTACTAGATAAACTCAGGTGGTTTAACTATCAGGTCTTGCACACATTCATCATATGCTTCTGAAATGCCCAAGTGCAGAAGACTTACAAGTCTGTGAGATGCTCACGTTACAGCTGCAAGATGCACAGAAGCAGCTGCCAGCTGATGCTGTGCATGTTCTCATCCGACCTGTGGCCAGTTGGTGAAATGAAAATGGACAAGTTCTGGTATGAAAACTGCTTGTTCTCCAGCTCACACCTGAGAGGCACTTGTGTCTGGCCGATGTTCTGACAAATCCTGATTTGGCATACTGTAATGTGCTTGTCCTGTTTCAGTCACTATCATATGTGATTCTTAGTGAAACATTGTGAAGTCTAATTTGGTGGTTTGGAAGCTCCATGTGGCACATGCCAGGTAGTGTTCAGCGTATTCAAGATACTGAAGGATTTTGCTGTGCCGCTGTATATTTTAGCTTTGGAAGAAAAATTATCTCTGGCAAAATCATCTAGGAAAATATATTTGTGAATGAAACTGTTTTAGCCAGTGTTGCTGCTAACCATTCCCTCTCTCAGCAGGTCTTTTCTGAATGAGAGTTAAGGCCTAATATTTAAACTCTTTATACCGCTAAAGGAATGTTCATAGCAGGAAAGGATGCAGAAGAAATCCATCTGTCAGGGGTTTTCATTTATGCTGATCACAGTTATGCTGATTCTTGCCTGGCATTAACAGTGGGCTTCTGGAGCTACAATTCTCTGCTTCAGCAGGGTGTCATCAAATGGTGTGAGAAGGCTGAACGGTGCTTTTTCCTTCTTTCTCCTCAAGGAGATTCTCTTGACTTGTTATCAGCTTCCAGCTGCAAAGCACTGATGCTAGCTCAGGTGAGCTTCATCCTTTCTATCAGTTAGGGGAGCAACCACCCCCTGTCAGGTCAGGCTTTCTAACCCTTCCTTCTGGTAGTGCTTGAAATTACTGAAATAGAAGTCAGAATTTTTTTAGTCCTGTTGTTCCTTGATCAAAGTTAGTTTGGGTTACCTGGAACTTTTCTGAGACCAGAATTTAAGTAGGAGAGAATATAGACTTAATACCATTGACCATGACCCCTTCCCTAGCTTGCCAGAGCCTTTGCTATACACCCCATGCTCTAGACATCCGACTAGACTTCCATGCCACAGACTTGAATTTGTTCCAAAAGAACACCGGCTGTGCCAAGGAAATCTCCCTGCCATGTCCTTTTTGGTATTATCTGCCAGGTCATGAGCATGCATTGTGTTAGAAATACAGGCATGTGCTGCAGAAGGTTGATCCCCTTTAAGACATCACGAGATGTTAAATTCCTATGAATTCTCAGGACTTTCTTCAACTGTAACCCTTTATTTTTGGGTCAGGGGTTGTGTTTAAAATGTTGCCCTGTGTTCTGAAGAGATGGCCAGACCTGCAGACAGCTTCCTCTGGTTGAATGTCATTGAGATTGGCTTTGCTTCAGCTGGAGGGTTTCAGCAAAGGTTACGCTGAGCCTCCAAGGGGTTAGAGAAGTGCTGGTCCTCTATGCTGTACCTGGAAAATCCTGGGAAGCAATAGTAGCTTCCTGTCCAAGCCCCCTTCTGCCATTCCCACAGCTGGCAGTGCTGTAAGGAAGGGGTGCTTGCTGTGCCACTTGTGCTGCGTGGATATGGCCATGCATGGGAGCAGGTTGCTTTTGCCCTTCGTTGGGCTGGGTAAGTATCTATGACGAAGTGGGACCTGGGTCCAAAATTCTGATAAAGCTGAGGTATGTTAAGATAGAGATTTCTGGTGTAGTCTGCTGTGGAGATAGTGGCCAGCAGAAAGGGAGGATGGTGATTCTGGGTTGGATTCATCTCATGTGGGGGAAGCAGGGCAAATACAAAGATACTGCTGGTTGGATTTTCACAGCTTTATATTAGATACATGACAATAATTTCTAAGTGGGACCTTTTATTTTGTGATTATTTTTTAGTTTTGAGATATTGCGGTGTTGGGGTATTCCAATGAAGTACTGAAAGCACTTGTCTTTGTATAGAAGATAACTGTATAAAAGATTGAAGCTGATCTTGTAAAACTTAGGTGAAACATTTGTAGATAGGTAATTGTATAACGTTAAAAAACTTTACACTGGCATGTGTTGTATAGTTTATACAAGACACTTCACAATTCTGCAGAATTTTTTAGTTAGTAAATTTCTAGTAACTTAAATGTATAGTTTTGTATCCTTTCATGTATGTTCATTTTCTCAGTATTACCACTTGCAGAATTATTTTTAGTTTCTTAAACTGTAATTGGTTATTTGTGTGTGATACACAGGGTTATTGACTGCAGCAATAAAGTGTTTCTATACAAAAAAAAGCAGAACAAAACAAAACTATTACAGTATCTGTTTTGTTTGAAAAGCTTTAGACGCCCATGCAAGAGAAAAATTAAGGTCTCCAGTAGTAAGATGATAAAGCGAGTTACTTCCACTGGAGTAAACGTGGAACTTGATGGGTCTTCAGTGTAGCAGGCCAACACAGAGTAGCATCTCGTGACAATTTTATGTTAGAATGATTCAGAATGGTAAAGGGATAGTTAACCATCAGTGTAACTGGGTGACTCCTTCAATGCAGTCAGAAGCTCTGACTATGCAGGTGTTTTGGGCTCAGATGCAGTAATCATGGGGAGACTGTTCTGGCTTGTGCCATGCAGGAGGTGGGGAGAGAGGATTCCTGTGGGCCTTAAAATCTGGAGCTTCTGAAATTGACACTGAGTGTTGCTGTG